CCAGGATAATATTTTTCTTTCAGAACAGTAGCAAGCAACGACCCCGGATTCTGGATCAGCCGCCACCCAATCTTGGCAAGGAACGCCAGGTTAAAACACTGGATATCCCTAAAGCCCAGCCCGCCGACTCGTTTTTGCTTCATTAACCGCTCCCATGAGATCCAGTGGACCCCCTTTCTCTGCTCGCTCCCTCTCCACCAGAAATTCCGGATAGCTTTCTCCAGGTCTCTACATACCCCAATGGGAAGTTTAAAACAACTCATGGCATAGCTTGGCATCGCCATGGCTACTGCCTTGACAAGGACTTCCTTTCCTGCTTGGGATAGAAATTGCTCAGCCCAACCCGCCAGCCGGGATTCAAGCCTGTCCCGCACCTCTTCAAAAACCACTCTTTTAGAGTGGCCAAAATCAGATTGCAGCCCAAGATACCTACCAAAACCAGACTTGCATTGGATTCCCATAGTCCGGCCAATCTTTCTCCTCACCCTGTTCGAGGTCTTTGAGCCGAAGAAAATCGAGCTTTTGGACAGATTAACAACTTGGCCAGAGCCTCGGGCATATGTTCGCAGCACCTCTACGATGCCTCTCACCTCCTTCACACTTGCATGACCGAATAACACCGAGTCATCCGCAAAAAACAGATGCGAGATTGGGGTCCCGTTTGCCGACACACTGAACCCGTGGAGGGCACCCCGCTCCATTCTTCTCCTGATGAGCATGGAAAGACCTTCTGTACAGAGCAAGAAGAGATAGGGAGATAGGGGGTCTCCTTGTCGCAACCCACGCTCCGGCAGGACAAGCCCAGTCGGGTTCCCGTTTACTAGGATGCTGAAAGAGGCCGTGGAAATGCACTCCTTGATCCAGTTGCAAAATAGGGGAGCGAACCCCAATTTCGCCATCATGGATAAGAGGAACACCCACTCCACGCGGTCGTACGCCTTAGCCATGTCGAGCTTAATAGCCATGCCAGTCTGGTCACCTTTTTTTTGATGAAGCAGTGAGTGTAGTAGCTCGTGCACCACCAAAATGTTGTCCTGAATTTGTTTCCCAAATGCGAATGTTGCTCAGGGGATGTTTGGGCTAAATTTTTAGAAAATTAAAGATTTTGAGTTTCACAAGATCTTTTGCTTGTGCATGAAATAAAATGTTATGAGTAATGTTAGGTTGACTAAATTTGTATACTACAATTGCAAATTAAATAATTTGTCAGCAACAAAAAATAAACATTTTAATCAACACTTAAGTAATAATCTAATTATTAACTTCCATATCATTTAATTTACAAAATTTAGGCCCAGCTTGGTATTGCTTTTTTTTTCTTCACCAAAAGCTGCTTCACTTTAAAGTTAAGCAGTAAAAAAGTGTTTGGTAAAAATAAAATATATTGCTTATTTTAAAAATAATGGCATCCAGACAGCAGCTTTTGAAAGCATTTTACAAGTTGCTTTAATAAAAAGTGGAGTTGAGCCTTTAGAATATTTTTAAATCATGTAATACGCTCATTAATTTTAAACAATGACATAATTTATTCTCCTAGACATTGCTTTTACATCGTTTTTCATACTTACAACACTTTTAAAAACACAGTTTATCAAACGCTAAACTGCTTTATTTTGTAGATGATTATTCTTAAAGTACAACATAAGCAATTTATTCAAAAAAAACATATCAATCCCAAATTGGCCATTAGTCTACACAGTTAGTCTTCCTAGCATTACCAAAAATGTTATTGGCCATTTGGAATGAGTTTTAAATTATATCAAGCCTCATTAGTGTTTAATGGATTTTTTTTTTTAAAAGATAAATAAAAAATACTATTAAGGCTTGACAACAATTAACAACGTCCAAAAATTTCCAAATTCAACATGAACTTTAAGAAGCTTGGGGCGTGACAGAAAATGTACGAAACCGTAATTTTTTTTTAAATAAATAAATAACAAAAACGAGAGAATGCAAGTGTTAGGGTGGGGTAATACAACATCCCTCATGCCAATTATCCCAGTTAATTTCCGGTCTTAGTACAAAAAACAAACATATATTATGTAATAATGCAATGTTATGAAATCACAAACTCACTCCCTTCAGGATCATTATGAAAATCACAAACTCAGTCTCTTCTAATCCCGCTAACACAAATTTAAAGCATCCAAACATGCATGTCACATACTATACTTATACCACTTGGCCTCGAGTACCTTAGAATATGAATTAGCACTCGTCCATATAATTAAAACTTGTGTTCCATTGATTATATAAACACTTTCTCCGATACCCAATTATATACTCAAAAGCGTGACATATACAATTTTTCAAGATTAAGTCTCCAAGTCCTTCCACAACCTCTGGATATATCAACCCTCAACACTCACACACGCACGCACAAAACTGTCCTTCCATGCATGAATGCTTATGTATGTATGACATTACCATTCTCAAATGTTATCCATCACAATCCAAAGAGTATAATCATTAATAACACTTATACATATACATACGCATAGAAATACATGTTAAGCATATAACCAATATACAATCAAGAAATCACATTTAATATATTTACTATCAGCACAAAGATTAAAATAGATATAGGCCTATCATTGGGAAATAGTATGAAACCTACCTCAATTACATGCTAGGCAATTTACCAATGTAAGCCTCAAAAGTGCTCGGATACACTCCTGAGCCTTGTGAAAGATTTACAATACTATTAAATTTTGGAAGTTGAAAATTCATAAAAAAAACACTTACGGGGCACAATATATCGTAAGATCGCTTCCAAAAGGTTTATAAAGTTTTATGTAATGCTCATGTAAAAGATCTTGCAAAACTCAAAATTTTCATATTTACGAAAATCGTGAGCAAGTCATGCTTTTTGATCAATTTGCCAATTTCTATAAAAACCATTGAAAACCCAATTTCGTGCAATTTCACCGCACTCTAAACTTTTTAAGTTATATTGGATGTTCCGGAGATATTCAGAACGTTGGTAATTAGCGTCGGGCGTTGCTAGTATTTTTAATTTAGTAATATGTTTTGTAAATTGAAAAATTCATAAAAAATATTTAGTCTCAATAAATCATAAGACCGGATATAAAAGGCTTATAAAATTGTACTTAATGTGCACGCAAAAGATCTTGTGAAACTCAAAATTTTTAAGTTTTACGAAAATCGTGAGTTGCGTAAGTCATGTTATTTGATCAATTTTGCCAATTTCAATAAAAATCATTGAAACCCTGAGCTCGTGCAATTTTGGCACACCCTTAAGTTTTTTGTACTGGACGTTCCGGAGATGTTCTGAACATTTGTAATCATTGTCGTGCCTTGCTAGTATTTTCATTTAGTATTATATTTTGGATCTTGAAAATTCCATAAAAAAATACTTAGGGGGCTTAATAAATCGTAAGACCGTTTTCAAAAGGCTTATAAAGTTTTACTTAATGCACATGCAAAAGATCTTGTGAAACTCAAATTTTCATTTTTACGAATATCATGAGTTGTAAGTCACGGATTTTGATCATTTTTTCCTATTTTTATAAAAATCGTCGAAACCCCGATTTCGTGCATTTTTGCCGCACCCTAAGCTTCTTACAGTTTATATTGAATGTTCAGGAGATATTCTGAGCGTTTGTAATCATTGTTGTGCCTTGCTACTTGCTAGTGTTTTTTAATTTAGTTTTATTTTTGTAGCTTGAAAAATTCATAAAAAACACTTACCGGGCTCAATAAATTGTAAGACCACTTCCAAAAATCTTATAAAGCTTTACTCAATGCGCATTCAAAAAATCTTGCGAAACTCAAAAATTTTCATTTTTACGAAAATCGTGAGTTATAAGTCACGTTTATTTTTTAATTTTTTTAATCAATTTTCCCAATTTCTAAGAAAAACCGTTGACAAACCGATTTCGTCCAATCGAACCACGCTGGTATTTTCATTGGTCTTGGCATTCACCAGCATGCGTCATAGATGACTTTATAATGACTCTCATCGATCAAGGTGCAGCTTCGAAAGTCGTTTGTTTAATGGACTTGATTAGAACAATATTCATGGGAATTAATTAAATTCTAAATAACCAGAGACCTGATCAACCTAATATTTTATAGGATTAGGTAATTAATGCTGAACAGCTGAATAACACCTGCTGTCCAATAATCTGTTCAAAGTACTTCTCACTTCATGCATGTGTCTTGCTGCAAATCTTTTATGCGCGATCTCTGCATTTGGTAAAATCTCTGAAAAACTACTGCCATGTAATTCCAAATTAGCAACTTAATCCTATTTATACGTGGCTTTAATAATAGCTATAGAGTCAAACCGACGCCCGTGTAATAACACCTGTTGTCCAATAATCTGTAAAATCTCTGCAACTTAATCCTATTTTCATGCGGATATCATTATTTGAATGAGGACAAACCGACGCCCGTGTGAATGCAGCTCAACGTGGATCAAACATTCCAAGCAAAAGAGGCAAACCAGACTCAGCAGTAACCAATCCTTTCAATTATTGAGAGAGAGAGAGAGAGAGAGAGAGAGAGAGAGAGAGAGAGAGAGAGAGAGAGAGATTGCATGCATTTGAGTTCTTCTGGTAAGAAAGAAGAAAAAAGCGAGAGAGAGATGAATGGGACCCCAATTTTCCCACCACCCGACCATTACAAGCTGTGACTGCGGTGCACTCGTGCGCTTGGTTGGTTCTGAGGAACCTTATAATTTCATATCTTGGCAGGACATATATGGCTTAAAACGTACGAGTTTTTCGTACTGACTTGAGTGTGATGAGGTTAAGCATTGGGCATCCAGATCACATGATCATTCGACCAGACAATTTAAGTTACTCCAGTCTCTTGTTGTGATTTGGTTTGTACTTGGTCCCAAACTATCAAGAAAACTGAACCTTCCTTTATTAGGCCCAATAGTATTTTTTTTTAAATGGGCCACAGGGAGAATAGTCTTTTCCTGACGAAGTTTATAGCCTTCGAGCTGAATGTGATTCTTTTAAGTAGAATAATTCACAAACAAATCTTAGTATTTTTTTAGCATTTCATCTTTGGAAAAATTGGACAAAGACAAATTCTTGACCAAGAAAACAAGTCACTAATTCTAAACTCCAAAAATGAATGAGAAAACAAGTCTCAATTGCAAAAGGGAAAAATTGGAAAAACTCGAGCCTCTCCTCTTACCTGGGAATCAACTTATACAAACTGCTGTCCACATGTAGTCCGCTACTTTGCTGACTCTAAAATGCCAACTGCAGCGGCAATCAAAGCGAAAAATAACTTCTGCTTCCATTTTCGCCATTCGGGGCGGGCGCCCGACCAAATATAGTACAACAATTTCATCACAAGCACAAGCTCGTCCTACTTGTGGCCATACCCAGCCTGGGGTGGAGGTGGTCTCCTATTTCCTCTTCTGTCCAATCCAGAGTATTGGTTTCTGGATTGTTGAGGACGGCTATGACCTCTGCCCGGGTTATGGCTGACCGGTGGAACCCGGCCATCAATACCATGATGGCTAGGCGTTCCAGATGGTTGGTAACTCTGATAGTTGTTATAGCCACCTGGATAAGGAGCAGCACTGACCCCCGGTGGAGTTTGTAGAATTGGTCTCTCAGGGTAGATTGGCCCATCGTTCTGGTGATTTCCTGATTCGTAGTATACATGCCCAGAATTCCTTTCGTGGTGCTGGGTACGAGACCTGTTCTGAAAGCGATGGCCAGCTGCCGAAGAAAGCGGTACATTATACCCACGGTCACCGTGACTTGGGAATGTACTAATATTCGAAGCTCGGTGTTGATGTTGAGGATGGTGGATTGCCCTAGGTGGTGGCATTCTATTGTGTCCCTGATCATAGCCTCTGTTATTTGCATAGGAAGGGTGTGCTGGATAATACTGAGGCTCGGCATAAGATGGTCGATGGGAATGCATCTGATTGCCATACCCATTAGCCTGTAAGCTATTAACAACAAGGCGATGTGCCGATTCCCCGAGCTGTCTTCCAGAAATAGCTCCTGGGTTCTGCCTGGAACTGAAAGCAAAATCTAATATTGTTAAAATACAATCAGAAGAAAAGGAATTATATTACGCTGAAGGACAAATGGCACTGCATATCTATCAAAAGCGATTTGTTAAAAGGTCTACCTCGAATTTTCATATGGCTTCCGCCCAGAATCTTCATGCCAAGGCTTTCGCCCGGTGTCTTCATGCCATAAAGGAGGTAATGGCTTCAGATCCCCGACTGTAACAGTCTGAAGATAACTTGACATCAATATAATGATAAGCATCACACAGTGTATAATAATTTTATTATTACTTAAAATTAGAGGCAATGGCCAAGTCGAGAAGTTCATAGGAACACATGCAAACACATAAAGCAACACTCGCATCACATATGGATAACACCCATACGACAAAAATTTAATTGAAAAAAAGCTTATGATCAATATGGACAATATACCTTCTTCGGGAATATAACACCTGCCGGTGGTCGAGTTATATGCTTATGTACATCAGGTAGTCTGTATATCGCACATCTGAACATCAAAGGGAGTGAATTGCAGTTCAGAGATGCATGATCACTTCTATGTATAGAGCAAATCCATTAATGAAGCCATTTTGTATTATTTCTATTTGCATCCAATAAATTACTTAATACACACGCGTGTAAAGATTACCCATCAACAAAATCTCTCTCTCTCACTCATACAATGTATATTAAAGCAAATGAATTTAAGTTAAAATTAAAATACATACATTACTTGGTTGTCCACAATATCCTCCATGCTTTCAACAGGAGACCGGAAAACCGGAGGGCAAGGCTCTCCAGTACATGGAGACAAATAACCGTTCATCCCTTCACTGCATGCATCCCTAAATAAAATCAGAAAATAGTCTCAAGCAATTCTTAAATACATTGTCAATAAGAAAAAATCAGAACAAAAATATGGCTTTATAATCATGTAGCAAACATTACCATCTAGAAGTACCAAAAAATGGACACACTTTCTAGAAAACCATAGAAAAATTAATTTTTGTAAAATGCCAAAATGGAGCATGATTCTCAAGAAAAATATATAAGCTAAATCAATTAGCATATGCGGTGCCACCAAAATGGAACACTGGCCACATGATCTATAGTTCCCAACCAAAACAGGCTCAAATAGAAAATAGCAAAGGTATAACGTAAAATTCAAATTAGAAATCTGGTTGCTGCTCTAAAGCATAAAGTAAATGCACCGTGAACAAACCTGTACTTGGGATCAATCTGCTCCTTAACTTCAACTCGTTCTTTGTCTGTCAACTGCTTGCATCGATCGTCCAGAGAATATATGCTTACAGATAGAGGATGAGACGATGTCACAAAAAGCATCTCGAACATCACACTATTTCTCCTTGTCTCCTCCTCCTACAATCCAAAAGCTAAAATTAAGTTAGAAAACAAAATAGAAATACCAAAATCAGTAATGCAAAGTAAAAATAAATAAATAAATACCCTACCGTCAATGTATGTTCGAGTTTTTCAACCTCACATAGAAGGCGGTCTTCATCAATAAAAGGCAGCTTTGCAATACCCTTCAGAAAAGCAAAAAGATGTCAAACTCTGCTCGATAGGTGTACAATATACACCGTAATCATCATGACCATGCGCAAAAGCATATAGTTATAATATGGATTAGAAAGAAACCTACCTGCCATGCATACCGCTTCCCATTCATATCCACTTCAAAGTCTGATGGTAATAAAGGTTCAGAGAAGAATCTTAGTGAGCAAGTAAACAAAAGGGAAATATTCAAACCACCAATATTAGTCAAGCAAACATACCAATAGGGTAAAAATCAATCAGAGGTGAATTTGGATCAGTCATCAACTTCCTGTACTGCTCAGGAAGAGCATGGGAGCTGCAAACAAATTATCATTAGTGCCTTACTTAATGGATAATTTACTAATATAAGGAATAAATTAAAAGCAAACCTTGCAGCAGGAAAAACTCCCAATAGCTGATTGAACGGTTTAAAAGGAGAGCCCAAATCGAAACTTATATTTAGCTGACCAAGGTCCTTCAGATCAGAAGCAAAGGGTGCATAGTGATAGGGGTAAAACCTGAAGAAAAAAAAAGGCATTCAATGGCACGATTGACATATTTGACTAAGATCATTAATGCAGTTTTTTCAGAAAATGTTACAACAAGATCTCATCTATGTGGCATTATCCTGATATGCAATTGTGTTTTCGTATGACAAGCTAAAAGAAAAATTGGAAAATATTCATAATCCAACCCTGCTCCATATACAACACTGAAAAACCCCACCCCATCCAAATACAATTAATAATTCCAGTCATTGCAAAATGCGACAGAAGCAAAAGGAACGGGAAGGCCCTTCATGTAGTGAAGGAAGGTGGATCAAAACTACTCACCACTGCCACGAGCAAACACCTTCATAATAATAGTGCATCACCCAACACAGACCTTCAGTGTATCGCAAAACCTACCCAAAAACACAAATATGAAAAAACTAACAATGGTTTATACAAATGAACATTTGAAATCACCAGCAATTATTACATACAACATCTTTTCGAATTGCATCACGTTCTTCAGGAGTTTTTGCAGAAAACTTCTCTTCATAATACCTATCTTTCCATCCAGGTTCTCCCAATTTAACCTAATAATAAAAGACAAAAAGAATCACATTACCAATGCAACCAGCACAAAAATTCAGAAACAAAACTCCGAGCTTCTCAGCTATAGTATTGAGATGACAAATATAATAATGTAAACAGAGCTATGCAGCAAGAGCTATATGCATAAACTAGACAACAGTTTTATATTTAGTATTCAAAACTGCAAAAAAACAAAAGAGAACAATGTTGTGATAGGTCGCTTTCATTGGCAAATGGCAATGCATGATAATTGCAAAACTGATGTTACTATGGTTCCAAGATACAAGCAGATAATCTAAATTATCAAATTTCAAAAAGGCTTTCAAATGCCTTACAAACATACGCCTTGCAGACATCGATATCAAAATATATGTACAGTTAGTAATTGAACCTTGTCTACGTTGGGATTTCCAGAGTTAAAAGCATCAGATTTCTCACGAAGAATCTCCTTCAGCTTTGCTTTCATGTCTTCTTTGTTTCCATGTTCCTAGAAGAAAAAAACAGTGACAGCTTAACGACCACATAGTTAATAATATATAACCAGCGGAACTCGTTAAACACTTAACCCTGTTTGTAAAGCAATTATTACAAGATGGTACAATAGAGATTCAAAATTAGGTCAGCGTCAGTAATTAGCATGTAGAAAAGTAAATACAAAGAACAGACTAAAAATGTTTGACATTAAGGTATCTCCTGAGCTAAAAAACATACATCTAGTTCAAGACTGTCCTCAGCTTCAACAATAGCAGCACCGACAGTTGACATCTCTGAAGACAAACGTGCAACCTTTCGAGGATTTCCTTGATCACTAGATTTTCCAGATTGTTGATAGGGTGAAGCTGTATGACCTGAAGCAAGACGAGATCCCTGAAACCGAGAAACTGGAACCAATGAATCTGGTTGCACTTGAGGCGCTGCATCATCTCCTCTTCTTAATTGCCCTTTTTCACGCTTTATTCTGTCTGCCTGACGCTGGAGAGAGGGGGAAAGATTTTGTTATAACATTAAGCATTCTAATCACCAACATAACATCTATTAATCCACCCATACAGCAATTCACAGAAGAACAATAACATCCACAGATTTGGAAGGGGCGTCTGCTCAAAAGGCCACATCCCAGAGACCTTTTCTGAGAGCAGATTGATTTTACCTGCCCTCTTTCAGCTCACATTTATTGAGGAAAGTATCCTCCCTCCCAAATCCTGTTTTCCTTGTGAAAGCTTGAACAATCTATCTGAAACCTAAAGTTCTCCCACCCCACTCAAAAACATTCTGAAACCCTAGCTCAGTACCATGCTCCATCTAACTAAACAGCCTAAACAGGTGCATTAAATGAAAAATAAATTAAAAAAAAAAACTTTAGCCATCATGCAAATCAACACGGTTATACAATCATGCTGCCATAAAAGTAACACTGTTTCAAGGGGCTACTAAGGGGAACAAACCTGATGCAATCGAGCTCTTTTCTGAAATATTTTATCTTCATAAGATCCAACTGCTTGGATGAAATGCTCTACCCGACTCAAATTTGGCTGAGAAAAAAAAAGGCAGGCAAATAAGAACATTATGAAAGAACCTAGTCAACTACATAACCTACAATGGTCAATTAAATACCTTGCTTCCATCAGTCAGGTATCCACCCAATGACTTAAATTCTTTCTTGTATACAGCCAAAAGCAAATTGATTGCACCCTGAACAATCACCAATGAGAATATTATAACAGAAAATTATTACTCTTTATGAAGCTCTCCGATTTTCATTTTTATTTTTATGTGAAACAGTTTTTTAAACCTCCAATTTTCATGTTCTATTTCTCAAGCTTAATAAAATTACATACCTCACGAATTTCCAGTGTGGGCATGTGTGGTAAGAAATCGTTGCCAACAAAGAAACACATGAATATGAAATCATCCACAATGCACTCAAAATCAATCTCGAATTGGGTATTGGGAATTCTCATCTCATATTCCAAATATTCTCTAAGAGTCCAGATGTTAAGAAACTGCCATAACAAAGCACAAAGAGATAAAACTTCGATATATAATTGTCACATAGTATTTCGAAAGTAGGATACAAGTTATTCCACTAGTTCTATTCAATGAAATGTCCAATTCGCAATGGCTCTAAAATGAATAATTTAAATCCAAAAATCGCAACCATTCCTTTTAAGTTTTATCAGTAGTTCTTCAATCAATGTATTGCAAAAAATAACCTGGTACGGCTTCTTGGGAATGGCCTCAGCATCAGCTTTCTCATCAAACTCTCCAGCCTTCCGTTTCGCCTTACCTTCACAATTTGCTGCTAAATGACCCACCTGACCACATATGAAGCATTTGTCTTGCTGTCCGGGGGTGAATACAACCTGGAATGTTGCATTGCCAAATGTAAAATTACTAGTTGGAATGAAGGTGGAAATCATGAAACACACTGTAGGAGAACTGAAAGTAACGAAGATGCCAATCATACAGAAAAACAAAGTTGAATTGAATTTTAAAATGAAAAATTGGAAAATCATAAATACATACCTCTCGAAGAATTGAAAAATGAACTTCATGGGTAGCCAAAGCAAGCATAATCAAATCAGCATCCTGTAATTGACCACACATTAATAGAATACAGGAAAAACTTACCAGAATAATTCAAGGGTTTTTATAAAGCAATGGATAAATAACTGAGGGGTATAAGAAGATGCATGTAATGAAGGAAGAAACATACCAAACCATAGAGACAATGGCGTGTATTTGGATCATAACCAGGAAGATTTCTTTGAAGACGAACATAAGACATAATTTTGTGTTCACCTTCACCTGGAACATTTGCATCGGAAAGAATAACCTGCCAAGACAAAATATTATAAAAATTTGGTAAAACAGGAATATTCATCAGCATTGATAGAACAATAAAAATAGGTCCTAATTAGTAATTGCAAAAGAAACACAATATAATTTCAGGAAACCGAGGGAACAAAGCACAGAAAATACCTTGACATTTTTCCATCCTGGGTCGTTGTTTAATCTGAGATGAATGTAATACTGCAATGCTACTGACAAAACAGCCATAAATTGAGTTCCAGGAGTGATGACATTGGAATCAACAACTTGCGACTGCTGTTTTGGAGGAAGTTTTCTCCCCTCCATTTCAAACTCCTCACGCAGCCTTTCTTCTTCAGCTGCCTATAAAAGAGAAACCAAAAATCAATAAATGTAAAGCTTGGCTTCATTTCTCCTATCTACTTCCCCCATTCCAAGGCTGTATAACCTTATGGAACAATTGTAACAAGTAAGGATTCAGGAAATCTCAACAATGAGTTCACACAGATAGAACGGGGGGGAGGGAGTTTAACATGCCCCAAGTAAATGGTTCAGGACTAGTAGCTATGTTCCTTCAATTTTCATAATACAAGTTTGAAGATTGAGTTACGAACACCCCCCCCCCCCCCCCAAAAAAAAAGTTACTGCAAATACACATTCCACAACTCCATTAAGGTTGTGTTGGATTATCACAATTCATAATAAATTTACACAAACTGCATCAACTACAAAACCCAAACAAACATGAGTAAAAACTAACAAATGCATATAACCAGAATTGATGATTGCACTATCAAAGGGTGTTTGAAATAACGATCTTTAGACAATACTTGTTGAACTCCTATGTATAAACACCACTATGATATCCGCTACAGAGGAAAATTTTATAGTCCCCAGGAAATCAAACTGCTTTCATTTGTTCAGTTAAGGTCAGATACATAAACATATCTATTCATCTACCAGTTTTCTGCAATTAATAAACTTTATTACACAAAAGAATCAGAACTAAACCAAAGAAACAAAGACAAGCCCTTCACATGCAAACACATGGAGGACCCACCTAGCATCCACAAAAGGACGTACCGCGTCTGATGCATCTTTCGCAGCTCTAAATCGCCGAGACCGCTGTTGATTCATTTTTGCCCTGGGGGCAACACCATCTATCAATAATTGGCAACAATTAGCATTACACAAATTCATACGACAACGCATTTACTTATGCTTTTTGATAAAACATAAACATCAGTTCAAATTCCAACACTCACCAATAGCCATGTACAATAGCTTTCGAGGCCGAACCATCACAAACAGTCTGTCAATATAATCAAACATGCACTGGAATACCTCGTCGAATGTCGAGGGAGAAGGCTGCATCATTCAGATAACAAAATTAAGCCACGCAAACAAATTTACAGCTACAAGGTCAAATTTTGATAACAATCAAAGGGGGGAAATCTTTCCACATAACAAAATTTTCAATTCGTAATCACATTGTAAAGAAATTAAATCGAATCGTTACCCTATCTTCTGGGTGGAAACAGGGGTGAATAATCCCGTTCATGTCGAGATACAGATTATCGTATTCCAACCCATTAGGGTTTGGTTTACTGGTGTCGACCGGAATCGATACGTCATCTATCACGACGGGCTCTTCTTCCACGACGTCGACAATCACAAGCGGGTACTTCTCCGCCAACCACCGGTAGAACGCCGGAACTCCCATTGTCAATTGGAGTTAGCTCGCGGTGGTGAACTAACAGATTACGAATCCAGAAAGTGAGGGAAAATCAGAACCCTAACCCTAATCGCTGCCTGAAACTTTAGCGGGGAAAGAGTGATAATGTACAAAAGAAGAAAGGTGAGCGCCAGTGTTAGTTTGGCGAGGCGGTGGAATTAGGGTGAGGAAGTGACGATTTGACGGTTATACCCCTGGAAATTTGGAAATGTAAGGCTATGGTTTGGGGATAAGGAACAGGGGTAATTATGTCAATCGCTGGAGTCTTGTTTTCCTTTTCGGTTTTTGTTTCCGAATTCGAATCGTCCTACCCGAAACCGGAAAGCTTACATATTGGGCCAATGGCTACTAGGTGACCCCGTTGCTAACAAACGAGCCCAAGTCCTAAGACGCTTAAGGCCCAATTAACCATTGTGTTTCTTGGGTGTTGAGGATTTTTGGATAACTATTTCAATGATTCGGATTATCGGATATGAAACATAACCAGTTGATCTCTACTTGATTGATTAACATCTTAGACTCGACTTGAACAAATGGCGATGACAATATGTGTTTGCACTTAGTAGTGATGAGGATCCGATGAGGTTACCTTATTATTAGAGGAAGGGAAACGAGTAGGATATAATTTACGAGGTCTAGGTCTCCAACGTTAACTCTGAATCTTTTCTGCATGCCCTTGTTCGTGCTATAAGAACTTTTCTAAACCTCATTTTCAAACGTCGTAGAATTCTCTGGACAAATACAACATAATACATACGATTTTTTCTCTGTATCCGTACATAAACCCATAAATATTTCTCAAAGAACATTGATGTCATGTCACCCACTTATATAATGTATCTACACAACATGTTGGCTCAATTCGCTTGCATTCTCGTATTGTGTCTTTGATGTGAAGATGCTAAAGTCAACACTTTCAAATAAATGGTCGAAAATGATGCCCACTATTCGCATATTTTAAACCCTACTATTATATGCCCACCATCCCCACCACAAAAATTGCGAAACTCAAGTTAAATAGAAAGCCACTTGTTAATATCATTATTGCATATGGATTATGGAACACAGATTCGTTTGGGAATTGTTAAATGTGTCATTGATAATATATTAATATAACATCCGCGACACATAAATGTATTAACATATTATTAATACACTTTCGACAATAGTAGTGCACTTCTTCGATACTACACATAGAACTTTCTTCTTTTCTTTTTTTTTTTTTTTTTTTGTGGGAGATAAACTTGAGTAAAGATGTCCGCCCACTTTACTCATAGAATATTTTTCACAAAAAAATTAGCAGAGCCTCATGTTTTATGTCTTTGTTGTTCCACACGATCTCACTTTGCGTCAAAGTAGGGCGCCCTATACCTTCCCATTATTTAGTTTTAATGTGAAACCTAATCATATGATAATACTATAATCTAGTGATATTTTATTTTATTTATAAGTAAAAGGTTTTATATTTGATTCATATAAACGATGAATCAAAACTTAAATTCAGTATTGTTGATCCTAAAAACTAAAACTATCAAGCCTACGTGGCGTGCAGGATGAGTAACTAATGAGCTAACTATGTCATTCGGTTATGTGCAGGGCATGCCAACTCGACGCCCGAGCTTAGCCGAAGAGTAAATTATGTTAATGTCGCGTTGAGCGCGATGCTAACTTCTTGATCTTGCGAATGCGGCCGAGGAAGGAATACGTCTTAGCCTTTGGGTTCTAAAGCCTGAAGACAAGGATGCTAGTTCTGCGAAGTTTACAAATCGTCGGCGCCGGGTTCGGTCACAGTGATTATATTTGTGAGAGTATAAGCACGCTGAACTGGCACCAGACTATATAGACACAAATATTTGAAAGAGATGTATGTCTTGATGGTAAATATGGTTCGATCGTCAGAATGCCGAACTTTAAAGTGTACTTGTGAATATCCAATTATAAAACAACTTGGCGTTCAACGTGCCAAGCCTAGTAACATATAACACCTCACTTCGTCGAGAAGGTTGATGAAATGACATCTACCAACAAGAACTTGAAAGTCCTTGTCGACCGAAACTTTGATAAATAACCAATCGGTCTCGAAGCAATGTTGTTTATCCAAAACTGAAGGTGCTCCTTGATCGACTGATTCTACAACTCCAGTGATGTTTATCAAAACTGAAGATGTCGCCGGTTGCCTTCACAGTGTTGTTTATCCAAATTGAAGATGTGTTGGCAGAATAAATGGGACAAGGATAAAATCTCAAAGGTTGTTGAGAAGCTCTGTGCAGGGTAATTTGTGTGTTGAATTGGAGAGGGCCACAATGTTGCATGCGACTCTGTATTTATAGCATCCATACTTTTTGCTTGGAACGGCCTAATAATTTCGTAGAAATCAATTGAAACTCAAACTCGTATAAACCTATCCCATCCAAAAGCCTATCCGTGGCAGACTTATCCCATCATAACAAAAAACCTAGCCTGCCTAGGCTTCTTACCTCATCATAATTCCATCAAATCACTTCACCAATTGAATCCATCATGCACATTTCCCCTGACGAAGACCATGTACATGCATGATGGTTCATTCACCAAATTAAACTCTAAAGTAATTATAATTGATGAAATATAATCACCACATCTCAAGATAAAGCCACGTGCTACAACCCCATTCACTCCAACACGTCCATGAATTCCAAGCCAATTTGAATTGTACCACCCACTTCAATATCAGAAATAGGAATTGTTTTTTATAATAATTAGCCACGTAGGAGATTGCATGCACCTGGGGCTTTGATATGATGAGCCCATTCGAATGTCTTCATGCAATCCTTTGAAGACGGATCAGGTCATCTATTTTCAAAACAACCAGCTAGATACTACTAATATTAGGTTTAGATATCCTAGTATATATTAAGAGATAATATCATATTTAAAATCACAATATTATTTCTCAAAATTAATTGAAAATCATTTCAACCGCTTTAACATTTAATAATCTAAAATTATGCTCATTCAACGATCTCGATTACTCGAACCAATGGTGTAATTTTGAATCCAAACAAGAATCGGTGGGTTTTAAACCTCTAGCCTTTACTTTAGTAACTTTGCAATCATATTCAATTGCTTTCAAAGGCTACTTTTTACTTATGGATTCTGGTCCCGAAAGTCCCTCTAACAACTTGAGCGTTGAGAGTTGAGACCACCCCAGACGCAGCAGCCACAAGCTCACTCAATCCTCAAACGTGTGGGTCTCATTCGGTCCAACCAAATTTATTCCCCGCCGCACTCGCTTTCCCAACCTGACCGAGATGTTGGCCTCTAAATTCAGAGGCCACCACATTCCACTTCCCCACATTAACCGGATCTCCACCCTACAACTCCTCCACTCCTCCACCACCACCACCTCCTCCTCCCTCCCCCCAAATCCCTACCTCCACCAACATGTCTCTCACCATTAAACTCCACGACTGCCATCTCAATCTCCTCAACAACAACCACCTCGGCATCTCCAAACCCAAAACCAAAGTCCCAAACCTCAAGCTCAAATTCCGAACCAAACCCATCTACCACTCCGACCCCTTACTCTCCGTCGTGTACAACTCCACAATGCACGCCTCCTCCGCTCGCCCGCCTCAATCCGCTGTCATCAAGAGCTCCCTCATCGACCCCGACGGCGGGGCCCTGGTCGATCTCGTGGTGCCGGAGAGCCAGAGAGCTGCTAAGGCTCTGGAGGCGGAGGCGCTGCCCAAGGTGCGGCTGACAAAGATTGATCTCGAGTGGGTCCACGTCATCAGCGAGGGGTGGGCCAGCCCGCTGCGGGGATTTATGAGAGAAGACCAGTACTTGCAGAGCTTGCATTTCAATTCGCTGCGGATCGAAGACGGGTCGTTTGTTAACATGTCGCTGCCCATTGTGTTGGCGATTGACGACGAGACTAAGGAGAGAATCGGGTCCTCGAATAATGTCGGGCTGGTCGGCCCGGGTGGAGATTTGGTTGGTGTATTAAGCAGGTTAATCCTTGTTTATCAGTATTTTACAATTGAGAATCTGGCCGAAATGATCTTTTTCTAAATCTCATTTGCTCAAATGATCAGTTTTATGTATGTGGTCGATATCTGATTACCTAGGTTCGATATTTGATGGTGTCGATGTTTAGATTTTGTTAGAGTAGTCATCGATGAAATTCGAATCCACACCGTCATGTAGACACTTAACTCCTTTCCATGATATTTGATTTTAATTAGTTTAGCAATTGAGATTTGATTGTTGACGATTTTTTAATTTGATATTTATTTTGTTTGCACATGGAAATTTATTATATTTTTTTTTTTATAATCACCTGATTTCATGCGGAAGGAATGTTCTTATTTGTTTGTTTATTGTGACTGAAGTAAACAAAAATCAAGTTCCCACTTCAAACCGTGTAAAGAGTCAATTTGTTTAATTTGTTTCATTGTAATTTCCTTTTAGTGTACACTCGCATATGCAACAGAACAAACATGTTGATTTTTTGGTTATTAATTCACTTGGAATCTCCTTGTGGCAAAAATCATGTGTAATTAATCGAAAATCTCGATATGCTAGTAGCCTAGTATAATTTTGTAATCTGTTATATTTGTTTTTTGTTGCAGCATTGAGATTTACAAGCATAACAAAGAAGAAAGGATTGCTAGGACTTGGGGGTCAACAGCCCCGGGGTTGCCATACGTTGAGGAGGTGATCACTCCGGCTGGAAACTGGCTTATTGGCGGAGATTTGGAAGTACTAGACCGTGTCAAATATAATGACGGGCTTGATCACTACAGGCTCTCTCCTCGACAGCTCCGGAAAGAATTTGACAGGCGTCAAGCTGACGCAGTTTTTGCTTTTCAGTTGAGAAATCCCGTACATAATGGCCATGCTTTGTTGATGAACGACACACGCAGGCGACTCTTGGACATGGGATACAAGAATCCAATTTTGTTGCTTCATCCTTTGGGAGGTTTCACAAAGCCTGACGATGTGCCATTGGATGTTCGGATGGAGCAACATAGCAAGGTAACCGGCCTGCATTCCTTTTGTATGTCTGTGAATATACTAGCAAAATATTTTGACCTGCCATAGCATTCTATCTACATCTTTACTTTCGTTTTGTTGAACAGATTTTTTCACTTCTGCATTGAAGTACCGGAGATGCATTGCAAATTTAGATGTCCAAAATGGGTAGTTTTTAAATGTTTTGTTTCTGTTCAGGTCCTAGAAGATGGAGTTCTTGACCCTGAAACTACTATTGTGGGTATATTCCCATCACCTATGCACTACGCAGGTCCAACTGAAGTACAGTGGCATGCCAAAGCTCGGATAAATGCAGGAGCAAATTTCTACATTGTGGGCCGTGATCCTGCTGGTATGGGACACCCCACAGAGAATAGGGATTTATATGACCCTGATCATGGGAAAAAGGTGTTAAGCATGGCTCCCGGGCTCGAAAAGCTCAATATTTTGCCTTTCAGGGTAGGTGAAACTATACGTTGCTTCTAGTCTTGACATATGGTGCGCTCCTTGTGCTTATTTGCTTGGTTGATATATATTATCGGAAATTTTATGCATGTGTTATGTCAGAGTTCTACTAGTTTGGATGCGATGAATTCTTACTTGGTTATATATGGCCCTTGAGATGGTAGTTTTATACGATGACTTGGTATTGGCTCCTCTTTTGTGTGTCGATTAACCTTCTTCTTTAATTATAAATTGCAGGTGGCAGCTTATGACACTGTGGAAAAGAAGATGGCATTTTTTGATCCTTCACGCGCTAAAGATTTCCTCTTCATCTCTGGAACCAAGGTATGAAGAGTATTTGATATTGTTTGTTCTCAATAGTGTATCTCTGGTCGAGGGGAAATACTATATCTTAGAGAGTATACCATCAAACTGGCAATGTAGTTCTGTTGGTGAAGTTTCGCACCTCACTTGTATAAGTGTGTAAACTACAAGGGGTGCTGAATGCCTACCCGTGATGAAATTCTCAGATGTTGCTTGCTGCCTTAAACCTTATAGAATTGTGTGTGCACGACCGTTGAATTAGATATTTGATTACTAATTAGGAAAATAATCTATCTTCTGTATGCTGTGTATAATTTGGTACACCTGTTGTTTCAGATGCGTGCTTATGCAAAGAGCGGCGAAAACCCTCCTGATGGTTTTATGTGTCCCTCGGGATGGAAGGTTCTCGTCAACTATTACAAGAGCTTGCAAACAGAAGAGGCATCACAGCAACAAGCTGTGTTATCTACTTAGACATCAGTGGTAAATTAATACCATATTATTCAGCTAAGTTAACTCCAATTTAGCCGGAGAAAGAGCGAAGCCGCTAGCCAGATTATAACCTATGCAACACAAGGGTAACCTTGGAGAGTATCTTTTATTTTCCAATCCAGTAGCCAAAAGTGTGCTAATGCCTGTAAAATTGATATTTTTTTTTCTTGTTTTTTTGTTATCCAATTTTTTTTTTTTTGTTTATGAGTTTATATACAGGGCAAGAATTTGCTTAATATAATGGCCGAGTACTATTTTTTCTTGAAATTAATTGTCATTGATGCGACTGGTACATTTTGCTGTTTTTTTCTCCTAGTCCAATCGTCAATTTGGGCTCTGTATAAAGTCGTCAATCGGCCCAGGGTGTACCTAGATTTTGGGCTGGCGGAGATGGATATTGATGGTCTTGCCTATAAGATTAGAGTGAAACTTAGAACTATAAACTGGAATGCCATTACTTTAGTCTAAAGAAGGTTTTTCAATTGCACTGTACCAATGAACAGTGTTTTGAACCACATTTCATTTCTTACTTTTTGATTCAAGTGTCAATTTTTATTAATTAAATTACAAATAAGTATTATTGACCTTCATTTGGTACCAATCAATCAAGTGAGAGATGAGTTGTTTAAATGTTTGATTTTACTTGAATCAGAATCTCCAAGGAGGAAAAAGAGAACGATTGGAATGATTTAGGGTTTAGGTCTTAGTATGTGAGCATGCGTATTGATGACTATAATAAAGGTATCACTTAAGCTCTAATTGTGACTGGTAAATTTTGAATGCTGCTGGTTACGGTTAAAATCCCAAATTCCAATTTGTTGTGTGAAGATGCGGACCACAATTGCTTCCTCTCAGCACAATTAGTTTCCACGATTACTCTCAAACCCTAATTATCTCTCCTCTCAAATGCGGACCACAATTGCTTCCTTTCAGCACAATTAGTTTCCACGATTACTCTTAAACCTTAATTATCTCTCCTCTCTCTAAAATCCATTTTTCGATTTCTGAATAGGGTAAATGGATATTGTTTATGTGTAGGTGTTACTCAGAGAAGTTTGAAGGGCCCTGGGAAAATGAGGATTGCATGATTTTTGGTCTTTGAAATGGGTATGTGTTGTTTTTAACGTTTTGGTTCTCACCTGTTCCGTTCTTTGATTTATGTTGTCTGCCTCCTTCTAGGTTGCTTCGTGAGTTTCATTTTCCGTTGTTGGCTTATGGAATTTGTAAAAATGGTTGTAGTTTTGTGACCGAACCCCGTAAGAGTATGCCGAAACACAGATCAACATGCAGTGAACATACATTGAATTTGAACAAAAATTAATATATAAGTGAAGGCATATGCAATGAACAGACATTGAATTTAAAATTGATAGGGTAGTTAAGCTTCTACCTTAATTATTCTTTGTCACTCATTTTTGGAATTTAATTCATTGATTTCAAAGTCACTCATGTACTATGTCTTACTCTATTCACTCATTTTTAGTATGCACCATTGAATTTTTTTGTCATATATTATTCGCTCATCTACTACACTAATGTTGAGATTTGGGGTATTATTTGTTTTCCCATATGTCCTGTTTTTAAGGGAAATCTAATATATAAATGGATCCAAAAACTCCTGTTGCGGCACATTGAATTTATTCAAATATTAATTCTTTTCCTTCTATTCACTTCAGTTGGTGTCTTCTTCTTCGTTCTTTTTTCAATGGCAAAGCCACATTGTTGAGCCTTTTGCCGGTACTGGTCTGGTATTCGAATGAGTAGGTGGAGCACAATCTTTAGGCCCTTTGGAGAAGCTGAAAAACCAATCTCGACTCCGCCGGCCGAGACATATTCCCAAATATGCTCCAGCTCCATAATGAATCGGACATCGGCCCGGTACACTACTCTCACTCTTTCCTGCTTTCATTTTCAAATTTTTTGGAATTTTGCGCTAATTTCATTTAGGTGATTTGTGAAATTTGTTTTTTTTTCTTTTGTTAGGCAGCTTTTGGTGTGCCTGCGAATGTTGATTTGGTGATGCGTTTACAATAACATCAAGAGGGAAGAGATTCAAAAGATGTTCCCAGTGTATCTGTTTCATAATTGAAGAGGTTGTTGATGCTTTTGATGCAAAAGTTTCAGCGAGAATGACTGCAAGATGCACACAAGGATCAGGTTAGAGATCTGCGTTGTTTAACATTTTCGTGTAAACACTTTTGAGTCTCAAATATATCTCAAATTTGGGGTGTCATGTATGGGCTGCTAAAGCTGAAAGTTCTTTTGGCTCATACATTAAAGCGGCATGTGCTTTTGGCTCATTTCTGTACAAAAGTTGAATCTTTGAATCTGCTTATTTATGTTTTGAAATGAGTGTGTTTGTTGTTCTCCCTACTGGAAGTGTTTCATGTGGAGATTAATCTTTGAATCTGCTTATTCATGTTTTGGGAATGTTAATCTTTTTAATTTTTTCTTTCTAGGAAGAAAATATTTAACAAAATGAATTGTGACTATAAAGTTAATTGAAGCTCTGAAAAATTTTGTGGTCGAAAAGGATGATAGATTACTGTTATTTTGTTTTTCCTTCCTATCCAAAAACTACCTTTGGATTTCTTGATTGTGTGTTTATTTAATATGTGCTATTATATTCGTTCCCAGTATAATAGCAGAACCTACTACACGAGCAAGACCAAGTAGCTGACCCTCTACAACAAAATCAGCCCGCTCGGAAACCCTAACTTGAATGTGGTTCCAGAGCTTAACGACTGGGTTTACAATGGCAACAAAGTCCGAGTCACCGAGCTTTAACGCATCATTCACGACCTCCGAAAGCGGAAATGCTTCTCCCAAGCCCTCCAGGTCTCCATCTTTCTTTCTTACCTTGCAATTTGTGTTATCCCATGTTTTGTTGCTCAGAAAATGAAAGAAAGTTAAAGAAAGTGAGTGAAAGAGGGAATTAGGATTTTTGTTAGTTTATGTGTTTGTTTGTATCATAAGTAATTGGAAATTCCTCTGCTTTTGTAATAATGTGTTTTAGGTTGCAGATTTCAGAGTGCATGAATCAGAAAGGGATATGCATATTTTCGCTGGTTGAGCATGTCGTGCAGCTGGATTTGATTGGGAAGGCATAATTTTGCACACATTGCTGTGAAGTAAAGCAAGTTTGAGCATGTGGGTCGAATCCTATTGGACATTGTTGCATCATGGAACATGTGATTGCTGGGAAGTTGAAGTTAGGGAGGAAGATTGGGAGTGGGTCTTTTGAAGAACTCTATTTAGGTATGGTAAACAGTGCTTGATATCCTTTTTTTCCTTAGAAAATTATTCATTGTGTTAATTTAATGTGTTTTGTAATGAAATTGCTCTTTTGGTGTTAGGTGTAACACAGTGGGGAGGAGGTGGCTGTTAAGCTGGTATGTGATCGATCCTCAAATCGTAGATTCAGTTCTGATGTTTGGTTTATGGCTAAATGTTTGCAAGCATTGTATAGTTTTGTGCCTGAGTTATAAATGGATGGCTTCATTAATGTAATGGAGTGTGAGCTTCTGGTAATTCATTATGATTTCATACATGCTTCCATATATATTGAAATTGTCCAGTTTGCTCATGGATGTTTCTGTATGATTTTGCATGTCTCCCTTGATAAAAGCTTGAGCAAAATATGCTTATGAAATCGATATGTGGTTTAGCTTTATAAATGTGTCTGCATCTGTACTGCTTATTTGCTACCCATATAAACATACAACTTTATATGAGATTGCCCCCCATTTGAAAATGAGTGTTTTTATGCGATGTTTATGTGTAGGCATTGGAATTAGTGTCTTTTGTTTTTATTTTGATCCCAGCTGCTCAAAACTGAATTTTTTGTTGGTGTGAATATATACGTGAACATATAATATCAACATTTGGAGTGAATCTAATTCACTTTAAATTTTCTTAAATTTATTGATTATCAGATGACATAGTTAACAACTTTTGTGATTTTAAAACACTTGGAGGTGAGATCTACATAATTAAATAGTCAATTGAAAAATTGACATGAGATGTTAGTTTTACATGACTAAAACACAAAAATGGTTTTTTGGGCAAGTGGTGATCGGCCCGCCTGGGTTAGGAAAGACTGCTTACTGCAATGGCATGTCTGAGTATATCCAGCTCATCCAAAGGTAAAAAATTTCACTCTAAATTCTGGGTTTTCAAGTTTTTCCATGGCTTCAATTTTGGTTTTTGAATACATATGAAATATTTATAGTGGTAATTTGTTGTTTTGGCTTGCAGGAAAGTTTTTATGGTACATTTGGATCATTCGGCCGATGCAGTGCCATATCCTTTTTAGGGTTTTATTTTTTTCATGTTTATTGTTCGTAATTTGTAGTGTTGCATTGCATTCCAACATCGAATATTGAGGGTAATAGAGTAGATCTATTGGTTCACCTTCTTTCATTTGGTGCTTTCAACTTTGAATTTTTTAATCCTACTCATTTTGCTTAGTTTTTGTTCGATTTGGATTTTGCAGTTTAGAGCCGATTTGGGGATTTTGAAATGTTGGACGTTGGGCCAGTTACACCACAACAGGTACTTCAATTTCAATGCCATGACTGTGCATTTCTTTTGCGTAATTTGATCTTCTACTGATTTCGATTGAATTCCAAGAATTTTTTTAATTGCTTAGTTTAATTTGTTGTTGCTCAATTGTTATGAAGATCTGTGAATGTGTATGAATTATTGGTTTCTGATTGAACAATGTGAAGTTGCTTGGTGTTTTAAGTTCTTGATCCAAAGAAAGTTGCATTATTCGTAATGGCATTGCCGCTTGTAGTGGTTGTTCGGATTACTGTGTCATTTTATTTATGCAACACTTATATGATACTTTTCTTATTGGCTGTATGTCAATATCATCAATATCTTATGGATTAATATGCTTACCATTTCGTATATATATGTTTTGATTCATGTTAAACTTTTTGTATTGTTTTTGTGTTTGTCATTGGCAGGTGAATTTGAAAACATTCATAGTTATCCATAGTACCTTGAGGGAGTGTGCAATTAGTATTCATATAGATGGTATTTTATGTTAACGATGAAAGCATCTGGTTTAGGTTTGTCCTCAAAATTTATGCTTAGTTGTAATAATGCTTTTGCTTAGTTGTTCATGTAAAAATGGAACTTTATTTTTTGTACATATATCATTTTATATTCGTTTAATGTTTGAACTTATGCTTATTAACTTGGTTATTGGTAAGGCTCTTCTAGAGGCAGTGTTGGCGTGTAGATGATGAGGAGGAAATGACGAAGGTAGATGACCAAAAAGGTCTTATAGAAGAAGAAGAAGCTCAGAAGTCTGATACACCAAGCAACTCCATCTGAAAGTGACAGAATCCAAAGGTAAACCCTTTCAAACTCTTCGATTATGGTGTTCTTTAGTTGATTGCAAGACTAGAACTTGAAAAACTAACTTATGCATATATTTTTTTGTGAAGGAACTGCGGTCCAGTGGCTGTATAAAAGAAAAGGACAACGCATGCTCTCTCTCACAGTAGCTCTGTGTTCCTCTCCCCCCAAACCTAATGGCTTCAACCCAATTCAGAGCTTGCTCGGATCGGGACCTCTTGGAGATTCGGAGCTCCAGGTGAGATAATTTTCCCCAAATTGTATTCAATCTATGTTGCTTCATTTCATTTTCCATTTTAATTTGGAATTGTTGATATTTTAGGCAGGTATTGCATGTATAACCACAACAATTTTTGTGTTAGATTGGGGTCAAATTGTCCAGCTTTATTAGCTATTTGGTCGCCTGTGTATTTGTAATATGAATAATATGAATTATGGTTTTTCTGTTAGTGTCCGATTGGTTAAGAAAGGATGCTTCTTTTTTGTTAGCATGCATATTTAAGCTGTAAACATCTGAAAAACTGCTAAATTGAAGTGAAATTTCCAGTTTTTGAGCTCAGTTTTAGGTCTTTACCTTTGAATTTGTTTACATGTATCCCAGCTAAAGCTACATAATTGTGTTGAATTTATTCTACTTAAATGTGTTTTATTCATCCGATTACACCTGAAACAATGGGTTTCCGCAGCAACGTGCGGGCATATTTTCTCGTACATATCTAAACCAATTAAGTACTATCATGCGGAAGAGTTAAAATATAGAGCAACTGATTGACTTGAGATACTACAACAATGTTGTGTGTCGTCCCAATTGTAGATAACATGGCAGTATCTATTGTTATGCTTTTCACTTGAAAGGTAGATAAAACTTTCAAATCTCTCATTGCCTACACAGGTAGCTCCTTATCAGCTACTGAACCTACTTCAGCTAGTAAAGTTTAATTTGACAAAGCGAAATGATTTTTGCTCTTTTTTTTCTTTTTCTGTCTTGTAAAAAACGATAGATTTGTTGGATCAAAGAGCTGACGGAGTTCGAACTCATGCCGTACTGGATGGTCAACACTCATTTTCACTATTGTGGTTGAGGGCCACTTGCGTTCTTCTTTTCTTCTTCACTATAGTCTTATTTTCATAATACTCCTCTTGTCTCTACCCTTAGGATTGAATGAAGGAAAAAAAAATTAGAAAAACGAATACAAAAGGAGAAAGGAAAAGTGATATAGTGGTATTCCTCTTCACTGGTAAGTGAGAGATTTTAGACGAATTTGAACCACATTATTGCTAGCTCATTGCGAGACTTAGTCCACTCCCCCACCTTTTTAGTGTAAACAATATCGTATGTTCAAAAAAAAAAATGTCTAAATAACATTCCGTCGACAAAACCCAAAGGGCACCTGATGCACAAGGTTCTTCATGCTTTCCAATATTTTATTTCTCCATATTTATGCCTCCAAGTCCAATATATTCAAGTTGGGCTGTGGAATCGACCATGCATGGAACGAACAAATGATCCAACCTGGCATTGGACCCTCATATGTAAAATGTTGTCCTTGTTTGTCCTGTGGGTCACTTATGTTTTGGTGTTGTCGACTAATATTTAACTTCCGATATACAAATTTTGGCCATCTAAAACACATTACATGTGCGCATACAGATGGTTAAGCTACATCTTTGGTTCTCCAGGTTCCAAAGCTGAGCTGTAATGAGACCAAATCTTAGGCCTAATCCGGAAGAATGACTTACATGCATCCTCCAAATCTCACTCGGTGTTTCAGATTATAATTCAATGTCAAGCAGGAAAACATATGACAATATTGTAACTTCGCACAAGATATGCCACAATTGCAAGCCAAAGGGTTATCTAAATCCTTGTCAATGAGGATACGATCCTCTTTCTTAATCTCTCTCCTCACGCGACATCTCGTGTAATGAGTCGCATTCTGCTTTCTGCTCTGAGTGACGATGGCTTATATATATAATTTTCTTTTAGAGAATACTAATACATGGTACTTTAACCTGAGCAATTAGATACTCGCTATGGAACCGTTGTGTCTCATAGACCTTATCTGGTATCGTGGTATTCACGCGCTTCACTTGAATGAACTTGATCAATGACCGACGTGAAATTGGCGGCATGTGTTGCTCATTATGTGGCCATTCCATGTGACAGGGCGTACAAAAGAATGTAAGAATCTCACATCATAATCATAAACTTGACAAGATGAAATACGATCGGTGATTCAACTATTAATTGTTAGGGTTATGTTTGGGGTTATCTTTAAGTGCTTTAATCTCTTTGGGAGCAATTGCATGTGCTAGCTTGTTGGGTCATTTTCTGGTTCAACTTTCAACCCCAGCTTTAGCTACATCATCACAAAAGAAGACGACTTGCCCTAGTATGTACAGTCTGAGTCAGTAACTGCCTATGGTGACAAAGAAGGGGGTCCATATCCTTATTTTCTCTGTTTTTATCCACCATTTACCAAACCAACCTAAACCCCAGAACATGCAAACTGCAAAGAGGTTGCTTATTTTCAAGATTGTAAAACCCTATGGCCCCAGTCAAAATGTTTGCATTTAAAGCCTTCAATTCCATACCAGCTTAGCTTTCCTCCTTTAATATGCGTAGTTACGTAAACAAGTTTCTCACCTTTACACAATTTTGGATAGGGTTTCTTTCACCATGTGATGGTGTAGAAAAACTTGTGTAGTAATGCTTTGTTCACATCATTTGTGTACTACACCGCTTTAAAAGCATTGTACTCCTTGCATTTTAGTCTCATCGAACCTAGTCAGGCAGCTCTATTGAAGATTTAATCGTGAGTCGTAATGGAGATTATATGAACCAGCCCAAAGCATGTTTAAGGTAAATGAATGATAGATAGGATGTCCCTGGTCATGCGTAAAACTTGAACAGATACCTTGATCATGTCATTTGTATAACGCCTCTTCAAAAACATTGGACCCTAGCATCACTCGATCCAAAGTTTTTAGTTTAGCAGTCTTATTGAAGATTTACTCGTTAGTCGTACGTGATGTAGACTACATGAACCGAAAATTCTAAAAATGAACTGCCCCATAGCATGCGCAAGGTGAATAGACGGCTGAAAATTATAATCAAACTGTCCAGTCTTCTTGTTAACTCACCAGTTGTAGTTCTTCCTAAGTTTCAATCTAATCAGAATTTCAAATACTTGAAGCCTTACACACCAAGTACCAAGCCCAGCTAATTGTCTGGCTTTCTAGTACTGATGGTAATGTGAAAGGGAGGACATTGCCGGACAAATGCCGTATCAGAGCATTTAAATGGGCAATGTTATAGTTGAGAAACACAGCCTTTTTCTGTACCTCATAACGTGCGGGGGTAGGGGGCAATGGCCCCTCGATTGAACCCACATCATTTGATTTAATTCATGCAATTATTTATTACAGCCAGGCTAGCAAAGGTAGCAATATATAAGCATCAATCGAGCGTTACTACTATATATTTCTCACTAAATTTAGAATTTATGATCGGAGTTTTTTTAAACCTCGACTGTACTAAAGAAATTTTATTGAATAAGAAAAAAGAAACATCTAATTGGTAGCAATATATGAGCATCACTCGACTAGTTCCTTACTAAGGATCCCATTTTATTGTTGCAAAAACAAAATTGGCATAGAACCATCGCGTGAATCATGCATGTATTTACAATATACATTTCACCGTCCTCCCATTTTTGCTTCAAGATACAAAAATCTTGTAGCGTAAATACAGAGTTCCTATGAAGACATATCGTCTTATTTTTTTGCTACGGTAGAACAAGATCATTATTCAGAAAAAACTTAAATATGTACTGCTGGTGGTACGTACTAGCAGTAGCAGAACGACTAAACACAGGCCATGCGCCCTATCTATCCATTGTTTTTTGTAAAGCTAACTCAATACGAGTTAGTGTAATAATGTGTGTATTTATATGAGTTAGGAGATCTTAAAGACAAAGACATCTTCTTTCGTTTGTAGCCATTTAATTCTGTTAGCTTAACTAGAAACATCAACAATAACCAATTGCTATATATATACACATACATGTCTCACTTTCACTTACCAGGCCCTTCCATGATTTTTTTTTTTCTTCTTACAAAAGATAGAATATTATATGCTAATTTATCTAAATTATACACTAAGCTCAAATCTGACTCGTTCCATGAATTTTGGCTACTTTCTTGGTTGCCTTTCACGGTTGAGTTTCAAGCGTTCAAATTGAACATCAATGCAGCAGCAATTTGGTACGTCTACTTTGGTTTAATTATTATGTTTTCGACAATCGATTATGTTTTTCTAACAAAGCTTTACATGAAACGGAAATGCTAAAGTAATGAGAGAATACGTCTAAGGTCTATGTTTCTTGTTCTTGTACGTAAAAGGCTTCCGGCATGAATTGATCCATTGTCACGGGTGCATGTGCCTGCATGGTGGGTGGCCCGGTGGGGGAGGGGTTTTTTTTGGGGGGCTGAGGGGTCTCATTAGCCGTTCAAAATGCTGCAAGCAAAAGTGGTTGTGCATGTGAAAAACTGCAAACTCATCTGCCAAAGATTTTATAGAAAGAAAACACGACAAATGATAAACCCAGCAAGCATTTAAGATGAACCAGCCCCCTACACCCCACAGCTTACAGCAAAAACTGCGTCGTACGTACGTTTCAGTACATGCAAATATGGATTATACTGATTATTGATATAACATAAAGTAAATGATTCCATGGTAAATAGCTATACACACACCCACATACATATAAAACCCTAGTATTTTCACTGTAGCAATTGATTCGAAGAATTGTTCGTGGGCCAAGCCATCCTTTTACGATGGTAATTGGCTAAACTGCGATCAAACTATGTCGAGGTCCTTGTGACTGGTAAGTTAAGAATATGTCTTTGACTATGGTAGCACGGTTCTAAAAATTCCCGTTTAAACGCTAGACGATTGGTTACCGTCCCAATTAATACTTAAGCGTTTGAAAATTAAGAAATTGTGCCTAAATCTGCTGAGGTGCCCGCCTAGGCACCCTCCTAGGTCGCGACTCAATTAGACAGACAATATATAACTTTTAATTTTGGATTTTATTTTTTTCAATAAATTGTAAGAGACTTGTTGCATACTTAAATGAACGCACATTATATCCTTGGTCCCCATGTTTTCATTATGTTCCAATACTTCATAATATATATGTGTTTGGATCCAAATTTACACTATCGGCCAGTGTAATCAAGGCCGTTAGGTAAACATAGTTCTCAACCGTCGGATGGAAAAGTGAAAATATTTTTGTTATTGTTAAAGGATAATATTATGGTATTGCCATATTATTTATCTTTTAATTATCCGATCAGTATATATTCAAACATGGACAGTTCGAGTGAACTTGGGTTTCCTTCTATCAGATTCAAGGTGCATGGATGGGATACCAAGATACGGAATGTATCCAGGTGGGTTTGAGTAAAACACAATTAAAAATTAATTTAATACTCATGTGGTCAGGATGCATGCAGCATTTTTGGGAAATGATGGTCTTGGATAATGATGACAAGCCTAGGTGGACTAGGCAATGATGATAAGAAGACTTATTTGAATATGTTTTTATGAGGTTTAGAAAATCATGAAAGTATCTGAAAGATATCCTTTGGTCTCTGAGGATTAATTTGGGTTCCGCAAAGTATGAATTGCAGTGGGACTCTACAAGTTATCAGGCCGTGCCAGGGAAATATGGATGCTATAAATACAGAGTCGCAAGCAACATTCAAGGACCCCTGCAAATCAATACAAAATTGCCCTGCGCAAATTCTCACAACTTGTGATTTTTCTTTTTCTTTTTTCGCTGACACATCTTCCGTTGGCATCAACAGCACTGTGGAAGCAACCGGTGATATCTTAAGTCGGCATAGATAGCTCTGTCACCGTAGAATCAATCGGTCTCGCAGTATCTTCCGTTGGCATCAACAGCACTGCGGCGAGAACGGTTGATTACCTATCCAAGTCTCGGTCGAGAAGGGTTTCTAACCCTTATTGGTCGAGGTCATCTCATCAGCCTTCTCGGCGAAGTGAGGTGTTACACGTTATTACGTTCGGCACATTGAAAGCCGAATTTGATATTGAACTTCGTAAGAATAGTAACCTTGTCTTCAGGTTCGAGAGCCCAAGAGGCCGAGACGTGTTCCTTTCTCGGCCGCAATCGCAAGACGCAGAAGTCAGCCGCGCACCCAACGCAACATCAACAAATTTACTCCTCGGCCGAGCTCGGCCGACGAGTTGGCACGCCCCGCATTCACCGAATGACGTAGTTAGCTTATTAATTACTCGGCCTGCGCGCCACGTAGGCTTTGTAGTTTCTAGGGTCAACAATATGTCATTCTATTTTGTAGTTTATGATGAAATTATATATATTTAAGTATAAGCAGACACTTATTTATACGAAATATAATAGATTAGCCCGCCAAGGTGTTAGGCCCCAGCCCGCCACCCGACTAGCGCCTAGCGTCTTTTAGATATTTGATTATAAGCGAAACACTGACTTTGACAGTATTCAAACTCAGTCACACACGGTTAATACAGTGGAAGCAACATGATAGTAGGGAGTTCAACCATAAAACCCTAGGGTAAGAATACGAGGAAATCTCAAAGTTTATTTAATAATATGAATAAGAAGGTTTAAATACTCCAAAATTGTTTAATCCTTCTTGCAAACCTACCTCCAAAAGGAAAATAAATTAGCAATAAAATTCTGAAAATTCCCCAAAATATGAGAATTTCTTGAAATCATGCGCTCAGAATTTCTAGCACTCTAGGCAAAAAGTACATAAGTTTTTTCTTTGGGTGGAATATTGACTTAAGTACATAATTGGAGCTCGTAATTTTAGCTTTACACGAGTTTGTCGAGTTGCTCTATGAACTTGTCTACTAACTATCTTAACATATATTTGTCATGTGTTTTAATTTTTTTTTTACATGATAATTCTTTATTGAGTTAAGTTAACTTAACAATGTTGTCTTGATAGCATAAGTAAATTTCTCTTTTACATACTAACAATTAATCAAGGTGGTTGCAAAGTTGAAACAATATGGACGGTGTTAAGAAGGTTCTCAATTTTCAACTATCAAATCAAATGAATCGAAGATAATTAAAAGACAAAAATTAATAAAGACCGCGTGGAATGTAAAAAGAAGTGTATGAATATCATCAGCCGACAATATATAATGAAATCGAAGAATGAGTTAAACAACCCTAAAAGAGGAGACAAAGAAGACTATGAACCCTAATTAAAACTTGAAATAAATAGCATTCCAAACAGACCATGGTCGATTAAAAAGAGAGGCCATGAAAATTGCAAACAGTTTTTTTGGTAGCTTACCCCTAGAGCTAGCCTACGCTAATAGTAGTAATGTACACTGTACACTGCATTACATTTTATTTTATCGTCAATATTATTTCCAGGAAATTTCACTATTTCCTTTTTATGCTTCGTACAAAATCTGAATCAAACGCTACAAATAAAGTAAATAAGTACAAATGAAACTTGCACTGGGAAATTGGTGGGATGTTTCTCAAAGTGAATGTACACCAAAGGAGACAAAAATTGCATCAATATTAATATTATTAAAAATGTATCGATAAAATGTTGATACATTTTATTGATAACAATGATATTGACACATTATTAATATCAGATGTAATACATAAACAATCTGTTACATCTGTTTCATTGCCGGACTTTGTTTGCATGGGTAAAATCTGGATCAAATACCACTAAAAAGTAAAAAGTAAGTATAAATAAGCAGTAGAAAAGTGGTGGTGTTTCTCATTAGAGATAAGGAGTTGAAATTGCAAGGGGGAGAGAGGGACCAAGTTGTCTTTTGGAGAGCAACAGTTGGATGTAAACCCAATGGGGTTGCCTCCCTCCATGTCCTTTGAGCTCACCAGTCACTACAGGCCCCCCAAAGCAACCCTCTCTCTCTTTCTCTCTCCAATTGTCCCTACAACCCCACATGACTCTGTTTCTCTCTCTAGCCCCTAATCTCTCTGTGTCTCACCATAAATACCCCTGCACTTGCCCTCACCGCTTACACACAATTCCTTAACCCTCCTCCCCCTTTCACTCAGGACTCCCCACAAACCCCCCCCCCCTCAATTCTCCCTCTGAAGCATTTCATCAAACACATAGCGAACAACTGCAAAATGGCCATCAGAAAATCAAACCGGCTTCCGCAAACAGCCGTTCTGAAGCAGATTCTCAAGAGGTGCTCCAGCTTGGGAAAAAAGCAGCAACACTACGACGAACAGGGCCTCCCTCTCGATGTCCCAAAAGGTCATTTCGTCGTCTATGTCGGAGAAAACAGAAGCAGATACATCGTACCGATCTCCTTCCTGACCCGGCCCGAGTTCCAGAGCCTGCTCCATCAAGCAGAGGAAGAATTCGGCTTCGATCACGACATGGGTCTCACGATTCCTTGCGAAGAAGTCGTTTTTCAGACATTAACTTCCATGCTGCGGTGAAAAAGTCTGGATTTTTGGGAGAAAATGGCTGAAAAATAAGCAAGACGAAGCTGCTGAACTGCTTCTCTGTTTTTTCAAGTTTTCTCCTTTATTTTTTTTTCTCCTTTTTTTTGGGTTGTTTTTTTTTTACAAATTTGACTCTGACCCAAGATTAAATCCGAGAAATTAAACCCATGGAGATACTGTCATCTGGGTTTGAAATTGTAAATCTGATAAAGTGTGAGACTTTACTCACGGTGGCGGTGCGGTGGTTGTACACCCAAATCAAATATTTTAATATTAATATTAAATTTGAGGTTGTCACCTTTTTTCTTGTTTCCCCGGCTCTTGCTTTCTGGGTTTTTGTCTGGTGCGCGTGCATGTACTTTGCATATTTTGTGCTGCTCTGTCTGCCTTTGCTTAACTTAAAACAGTTTTATCAGTTAAAACTGTTGATATCAAGACAGATTCTTAAGTTCATCTTCAATGGTCTAGTCAAATAAAATAGGCAAAATTGTGCAAACGGTGGCAAGTTTTTGCCTACATGACTCATCCAATCGACTACACTATTGATGCATGTTTTTGCCTCTGGAACTCATCCAAACGGATGTGATTGTCCATTTGCCTACTCCGTAGAAAATTTCTTATCGGACAACACAGGTACATAGAGCATCTTCAATGGTCTAGTCCGATAAAATAGGCAAATTTGTGCAAACGTGGCAAGTTTTTGCCTACATGACTCATCCAATTGACTACACCATTGGTGCATGTTTTTGCATCTGGAACTCATCCAAACGGATGTGATCGTCCATTTGCCTACTCCGTAGAAAATTTCTTATCGGACAACACAGGTACATAGAGCATCTTCAATGGTTTAGTCAGATAAAATAGGCAAAATTGTGCAAACGTGGCAAGTTTTTGCCTACATGACTCATCCAATTGACTACACCATTGGTGCACGTTTTTGCCTCTGTAACTCATCCAAACGGATGTGATCGTCCATTTGCTTAATCCATAGAAAATTTCTTATCGGACAACATAGGTACATAGAACATCTTCAATGGTCTAGTAAGATAAAATAGGCAAATTTGTGCAAACGTGGCAAGTTTTTGCCTACATGACTCATCCAATCGACTACACCATTGGTGCATGTTTTTGCCTCTGTAACTCATCCAAACGGATGTGATCGTCCATTTGCCTACTCCATAGAACATTTCTTATGGGACAACACAGGTACATAGAGCATCTTCAATGGTCTAGTCATATAAAATAGGCAAAATTGTGCAAACGTGGCAAGTTTTTGCCTACATAACTCATCCAATCAATTACACCATTAGTGCATGTTTTTGCCTCTGTAACTCATCCAAATGGATGTGATCGTCCATTTGCCTACTTCATTGAAACTTTCTAATGGGACAACACAGGTACATAGAATATTCTATTTACATATATTTTGCAAGCAACTTTCGAGTCATCTGAATACAAATTTTGAGCATATACTCATTTTCTAAACAAAATTTATAAAAAAAAAAGCAAAAAAAAATATTTGGCTCCTTAAGAACACATTTTTTTTTTTACAAACAAATCACAGCTCATCAATTGTGCGTAAACAATTTTTGCGTGCTTGTAGTAAGTTAACTCAACTACTCAATGAGTCAATTGCTAAACAACTTTTATAGAGAAATTAAAAATGGTTTGAATTTTATCTCCCAAGAAATATTTGACTCGTCGAATATAATCACTCATTTCTTCTTACTGGCCAATAAACAACTCATCAGCTTCATAAACTTTTTCATTTACCTGAAATTCTTCGTTGTGGGGGTGAGCTTCTTTTAACTTAGAATATTATGAATTTGGTCGAAAAGTGTAATCATGAACCCTATAAAATATAAATTGCAGACCCACAAATTGGATGGTTAAGATTTCAGACCCAATTGGCATTCTCAAAAAAGCTTTGATTTTAAGGAAAACTAATGAAAAGGGTTTGAAAATTTTGAGTTTTAATGATAAGGACAAAATAAAGGGTAAAGTGAATAGTACCAGGATTGACTTTTTAGTGTAAAAATGTGATTTTTCGTTAAAGTGAACAGTACCGGGTGCTTTTCGTTAAAGTTCCCTTGATTTTATAGCAAACTGTCGCTGGAGCTTGGACCAGGAAATTTAAACGAGGATATGATATTTTTCATCATTTCTTTTTTGTCAAAGGATATGAAATTTAAACGAGGATATAATATTTTTCATCATTTCCACCGCTAGCCATCACCATCAACATCTTTAGATAAGCTTCTTATTTCATTTCATGTGTTGGCAGATAAGAATTTACATGACACAAAATATTACAGTAACGGTGTATCAGGATTGCAGCTTTAATGCTGGTTTCTTTAGTCTATAACGGTAAATTCAACACATTAGATATTGCAGTATACTCAAATAGTACTATACATGTGAGAAAGCATAGTCAATGTCCGGACTCTCTCAAAGAGTGACTCTCCATAAACTTTTTGACACATCATGGTTTAACGTCAATTCATGTACCAATATTATAGAACATTGTGCAAAAAACATGAGGTGACATAAAGTTTATGAAAGTCTCACTTTTGACAGAGTCTCCTTAACATTTCTTTTGAACAAAACTCTCTTTTTTTGAATTGAAAGTTTCAACTTGAAACCTAAAAAAAGTTTGCTTTCTTCTTGTAAAATGCCTTGATTATGTTTTAAACTAATTTTTTTAATAATGATAATAATAGTTGTTACAGGAATATTCTTAATTTCATAGGTTCTTGGATCAAAGAAATTATGGGATATACTATTGAAAATGAAAAAAAGATAAGATCCCACCTGCACATGGAAATTTTAGGGAAAACATTTGATATCGCTCAAGGAAATGAGGGAAAACTTCATTATTCGAGTGATATGACGACATGGCTGGTTAGGGTTTTTGAGGAATACTCAAACATATGGGATTTGATCATGAGAAAGTGGTCAGACTAACTACGAGATCAAACTGCTATGAGTTTTTCTTCAAGAAAGGTATTGACATACAAGGAGAAAATTGTACAACGAAATTCATAGTATATATAACAAGAAATGTCCATTCCTTAAAAATATTCTCTCCTTTTCTTCATTTTTTCTTTCTTTTTAACCTTTCATTTGGTTTCGGTCGGACCACACTTCATGGGTCTTTTAGTTATCAAAAGTGCAACAAACAAACCCCCAAAAAGGCTCGTAAAGATATAATTATTTGGTTAAGTAATTTGTGTTGATATAGATTAGAAACCCTAAGGCAGGCCCCAATATCTGCTTAAATCTTTGACTTTGGAGCCATGAATCGACAGTTTAATTGTCAGAAGTTTGAAATATCCCTATCTATATGGAATAGGACGGGGAACGCACTTTTTAACAGTCATTTTGTAGGGTATATATCCAAATGTATTTTAATAATCTAAATACTTTATTTTTTAATATTCTTTCAAAAGTCATGTTTACAAAAAAATCATCGAACTCTGATATCAATTGATCGTTGGATTAAAAGAAAATCATTTTAGTGTTTATTTAAAAACTTATCCATTTTCTTCACTAAAATTTAATGTCTTCATGATTTTGAATTTATCTAATATTTTGTCACGGTAAGTAAGAAAAATGACTTAAAATATAAATGGTTCGGATTTTAAAAAAAATATAAAATCAGTATTACAAAATAAGTATAAGAATAAGTATCTTGCGATCCTGACTCGTATATCTATCTATCTAATATATGGTAAACGGATGAAGATCATAGAAGATAACATGGCTAGTTGGGCGAGTGGCAGTGGAGTCATCTTTTGAGAAGTAGACCGTTTACTTGGAAAAACCATGAAATACAATATAAAATAACAAATATCTATTCACTGAATCATGCTAACAAAGCTTTCTCCTGTATCCAATTAATTACAAACTATGTAATATATATATATAGGAATTGCTTAAGGGGAGGGATCCCCATTTTTTCAAAAAAATGGGGACACGCTCCCCACCGTTGAATTTGAATTAAATGAAATTCTGTGGTTGAGATTCTATGACCTGTGTTTTAATCTCAACCACACAATTTCATTAAAGTCAATCTAACGGTGGGGAGCGTGTCCCCATTTTTTTTGAAAAAATGGGGATCCCTCCCCTTAAGCTCCCTGTATATATATATATATTTATTTATTAATTAGTTTAAAAGTTACCACTCGCTTGAAAATCTTAAACTGAATTTCATCGATTCTGTCTCGACATATATAATAGAATTGGCGGATCTGTGATTCTATGCGTGTTCATGTATCAACTCCCTACTTATTAAGGAATATATTTATTTATTTTTGTCATATCTTTTTTTTTTTTTTTTTGAGAACTTATTTTGGTTATATCTTTATACCAAAGGATGGAAGTATGAGGATGTATGAAGTTTTTGATGCTTTATTTAGATGAAAAGATTTTACATACAACTATAAGTCAAAATTCAATCACAATAATTAATACTATGCGAAAAGTAAGAACACAAGATGAGGCGTGAGAGGTTTATCGTACGATAATCTTGACTTATCTAATACATGCATGTTCTCACCGATTTTGATACAATGACTAATTAATTTTGTAATAAAGCCAAGAGAATTTGGATTGAGGCCTCAAAACTAAGAACTTTAGGAACCACTCGTTTGAAAAAGAGACAAAAAATCACATGTGCTATAGTAAGATTAGAGAAATTATATATATACAAAGACTAAAGGTTAATTCTCAGATAACATGTCTATAATCTCTATGTATGGAACTTCCTTTAATTTGGAGATTATTCACTCAATTTTTTCAGTCTTGATTCCTCTAAATCATGAAGTTTTGATTTTTCTAAGATGGCTTGAAAGAAACGTCTGGCTAAAATAAAATAAAAAGTTTTGGTGTCAGGAAAAGGGCAATAACTTTTTTTTTTTTTTGGCAAAAAAAGGGCAATAACTTTCGATTGAATCTACTTAAAGACTTAACTTCACTTTCCAATAGTGGTTTTCACCTCAGAAAAGGAAAAGGAGGAAGTGCATGCAAACTCAACCTCTTTGAAGTCATTTTTTTTTTTGTCAAAAGGTAGACTTTATTAAAGACGAATATAAATGTTTACATCTTTGACTAGAATATTAAATAAAAAATGTCAATGCGAAAAAGTAGAGAGAAGAACCAAGTACGTACATGCATGATCGATGCATATGACCAATGCATGATTATTTCATCTCAAAGAGTCCAGACTCAACGAAATTGTACTTTGGATGGATCGAAGTTGATCTCTTGGATTATTTTCATCATGAAGAATTGGAGTGACCAGTGTGGTGTC